GAAAACAGTGTTAATTTTTCGGGTCCGGTGACCCCCCTTCTGTTATGAGGAAGGGTCACCGGACCCAAAACGTTAACTTTGTTTTCTCCTTCACAGATGCTGTCAGACCTGCTGAGCTTCTCCAGAACTTTGCTTTTGTTCCTGATTTACAGCATCCGCAGTTCTTTTGGTTTTTATTTGATATTGCAGAGGGCTGCAGGGTCCCCAAGCAGAAAATGAGGTGCTGTTCTTCCAGCTTGTGCTGAACTTCATTGGAACACTGCATCAGGCCAGAAACAGATGTTGGCCAGGGAACAGAGTGGTGTGATAAAGAGGCAGGCAACTGGAAGTTCAGGGATTTTTTTTTTGCGAGCTGAATGTAGATGTTCTGCGAACATCAGTCTACACTTGGTTTCCCCAGTATAGAGGAGGCCGCATTGCGAGCAGCAAATGCAGTAGACTAGTTTGTGCGAAGTGCTGGTTCATCTGGAAGGTGTGTCTGGGCCCTTGGATACTGGGGTGAGAGGAGGTAAACGGGCAGGTGTTGCACCTTTGGCGGTTGTGGGGGAAGGTGCCGTGGGGCTGTGGAGGTGTGCTGGGAGTGAAGGAAGACCAGATGTCCAGGAGGGAACAGTCCCTGCAGGTGTTGCAGGACAAGGGAGGGGAGGGGAATATGTGTCTGGTGGCGTCTCAATGGAGGTCGTAGAAATGGTGGCTGATAATCTTCTGGATCTGGATGCTGGTGGGATGGTAGGTAAGAACAAGGGGAACTCTGTTGCTGTTGTGGGAGGTAAGAGAGGGGGTGAGGGCCAAAGTGTGGGAGATGGGTTGAACCCAGTTGAGGGCCCTGTCGCCAACAGTGCTGGGGAATCCTCGGTTGACAAAGAAGATGGACATTTTGGAGATTCCCTTGTTGAAGTTGGCCACATTGGAACATATGCGATGGAGATGGAGGAACTGGGAGAATGAAATGGAGTCTTTATCGGAATTTCCAACCTGCTGTCACTTGCACCTGGTCCATCTTTGTCTCCTCCCTCCCCTTCTTTGACATCTCTGTTTCCATTTCTGGGGATAGACTGGCCACCAATATCCACTATAAACCCACTGACTCCCACAGCTATCTTGTCCAAACAGGCTTGCACACTGCTTCCTATAAAGATTCTATTCCATTCTCCCAGTTCCTCCATCTCCGTTGCCTATGTTCAGATGAGGCCAACTTTGACAAGGGAGCCTCCGAAACGTCTCCATTCTTGCTCAACCGAGGATTCCCCAGCACTGTTATCAACTGGGCCCTCAACCGGATCTGACCCATCTCCTGTACTTCCGCCCTCACCCCCTCTCTTCCCTCCCGCAACAGCGATAGGGTTCTCCTGTCCTAACCTACCATCCCACCAGAATCCACATCTAGAAGACCATCTGTGGCTCAGGCTTGCTACAGTGTTCCAGCGAAACTTAGCGCAAGCTGGAAGATCAACACCTCATTTTCTGCTTGTGGATCCTGTAGCCCTCTGGATACAATATCAAGTTCAATAGTTTTAGGGCCTGAACGCTCCCATGTCCCAGCCCCCTATCCCACATACCAGGCCTTGTTATCACAGAGCCTGCCATTACACACTACCTATTGTTAGTCACTAACAGTCTCCACTAACAGCTATTCACCCTCCTAGCCAGATCGTTATCAACTCCTTTGTCTGTCCAACTGTCCTTCTCTCTCTTTGGGCTCTATTCTCACTTGTCATTTACTCCTGATTCTCCCACCCTATCTTCTGCATATAAACTGACATATTCCTAGCTATCATCAGTTCTGAGGAAGGGTCACTGGACCTCCAACGTTAACTCTGATTTCTGTCCACAGATGCTATCCGACCTGCTGAGCTTTTCCAGCAATTTCTATTTTTGTTTCTCCTTAGCCAGCCTGGCCTGCATGTGACTCCAGACCTTCATTGTCAGCCAGTTCATTGCCCTGTACAGTAAGCTACCAGTCACTCAGAATAATGAAAAACAAATCAGGCTTATAGAAAAACTCTTCCTGCGTCTCAGAAATTTGCTCCAATAAAATTAGGTGTGTTCACCATAGAAGCAATATAGTATAAATGACCCATAAATATGAGTTAAAACTTGATTTAAAAACCATTTTTGTGGATCATCTTTCTATTCATAGTTTGAAAACAACAGTAGAAATTGAGTGGACTAAATGCTTTGTGTTTTGCAGCTAAGTTAAACAGCGTAATCCCAGTCACTGCTATTAGACCGTAGAACATAGAACAGTACAGCACAGTTTGCGCCCTTCGGCCCACGATGTTGTGCCGACCTATTATCCTACCAAGATCAATCTACCCTGCACACCCGACATTTTACTGTTCTCCATGTGCCTATCCATGAGTCGCTTAAAAGTCTGTAAAGGATCTGACTCCACTACCACTGCCGGCAGTGCATTCCACACGCCTACCACTCTCTGTGTGAAGAACCTACCTCTGACATCTCCCCTATTCCTTCCTCCGATCACCTTAAAATTATGCCCCCTCGTAATAGCCATTTCCACCCTGGGAAAAAGTCTGACTATCCACTCTATCTATGCCTCTCATCATCTTGTACACCTCTATCAAGTCACCTCTCATCCTTCTTCGCTCCAATGAAAAAAGCCCTAGCTCCCTCAACCTTTCCTCATAAGACTTGCTCTCCAGTCCAGGCAGATTCCTGGTAAATCTCCTCTGCACCCTCTCTAAAGCTTCCATATCTTTCCTGTAATGAGGTGACCAGAACTGAACACAATATTCCAAGTGTGGTCTAACCAGAGTTTTATAGAGCTGCAGGATAACTTCACAGCTCTTAAACTCAGTTCCCCTGCCAATGAAAGCCAACACACCATACTCCTTCTTTACAACCCTATCAACTTGGGTAGCAACTTTGAGGGATCTATGGACGTGAACCCCAAGATCCCTCTGTTCCTCCACACTGCCGAGAATCCTGCCATTAACCCTGTATTCCGCATTCAAATTCGGCCTTCCAAAATGAATCACTTTACACTTTTCTGGGTTGAATTCCATCTGCCACTTCTTTGCCCAGCTCTGCATCCTGTCTATGTCCTGTTGCAACCTGCAACCTCCACGCTGTCCACAACTCCATCAATCTTTCTGTCATTGCCAAACTTACTAACCCACCCTTCCGCTCCCTTATCCAAGTCATTTATAAAGATCACAAAATGCAGAGGTCCCAGAACAGATCCCTGCAGCATGCCACTGGTCACCAAGCTCCAGGCTGAATACTTTCCATCTACTACCACCCTCTGTCTTCTATTGGACAGCCAGTTTTGTATCCAGACAGCCAAATTTCCCTGAATCTCATGCCTCCTTACTTTCTGAATGAGCCAACCATGAGGAACGTTATCAGATGCCTTGCTAAAATCCATAAACACCACATCCACTGCTCTACCTTCATCGATGTGTTTTGTCACATCCTCAAAGAATTCAATCAGGCTTGTGACTGACTGGTCTGTAATTTCCAGGATTATCCCTATTTCCTTTCTTGAACAAGGGAATGACATTTGCCACCCTCCAATCTTCTGGTACTACTCCAGTGGACAGTGAGGACGCACAGATCACTGCCAAAGGGGCAGCAATCTCTTCTCTCGCGTCCTACAGGAACCTTGGGCATATCCCGTCTGGCCAAGGGGACTTGCCTATCCTCATGTTTTTCAAAATTTCTAGCACATCCTCCTTCCTGACAACAACCTGTTCAAGCATATCTGCCTGTTTCATGCTGTCCTCACAAACGTCAAGGTCCCTCTCCCTGGTGAATACTGAAGCAAAGTATTCATTAAGGACCTCCGCTACCTCCTCTGACTCCACACACTAGTTCCCTCCACTGTCCCTGATTGGCCCTACCCTCGCTCTGGCCATCCTCTTGTTCCTCACATAAGTATAGAAAGCCTTGGGGTTTTCCTTGATCCTACCCACCAAGATTTTCTCATACCCACTTCTAGTTCTCCTAAGTCCATTCTTCAGTTCCTTCCTGGCTACCTTGTTGACCTCTAGAGCCCTGCCTGATCCTTGCTTCCTCAAACTTAAGTAAGCTTCCTTCTTCCTCTTGACTAGATGTTCCACATGTCTTGTCATCCAAGGTTCCTTCACCTTACCATCCCTTCCTTGCCACGGTGGGACAAACCTATCCAGTACTTGTAGCAACTGCTCCCTAAATAACCTCCACATTTCTGTCGTGCATTTCCCTGAGAACATCTGATACCAATTGGTGCTCCTTAGTTCTTGCCTAATAACATTGTAATTCCCCCTCCCCCAATTAAATACTTTTCCACGCCATCTGCTCCTATCCCTCTCCATGACTATAGTAAAAGTCAGGGAGTTGTGATCACTATCACTGATATGCTCTCCTCCTGAGAGGTCTGACACCTGACCTGGTGCGTTGCCAAGCACCAAATCCAATGTGGCCTCCCCTGTAGTCGGCCTAACTACATATTGAGTCAGAAATCCTTCCTGGACACACTTGACAAAGTCTGCTCCATCCAAACTATTTGCACTTAGGAGGTTCCAGTCTATATTCGGGAAGTTGAAGTCGCCTATGATAACAACCCTATTACTTCTGCACCTTTCCAAAATCTGTCTCCCAATCTGTTCCTCAGTGTCTCTGTTGCTACTGGGGGCTCTAAAGAGAACTGACAATAAAGTGACTGCTCCTTTCCTGTTTCTGACTTCCACCCATACTGACTCAGTTGAGAAACCGTTCCTGCCACTGTGTTATCCAAGTCTCTGTAATGGCCACAACATCGTAGCTCCAAGTACTGGTCCATGCCCTAAGTTTGTCACCCTTATTCCTGACATTCTTAAATTGAAGTAGACACACCTCAACCTGTTGCACTGACTGCCACTTTGCCCTATCAACTGCTTATCCTTTCTCATAGACTGTCTGCTTGCTCTATCTGTCTGTACACTGGCTACCCTATCCTCTGATCTGTAGCTCCAATTCCCATCCCCCTGCCAATCTAGTTTTTACGAAGTAAATCACAACTTGGGACTTTTTTTTTCAGAACTATCTATTTGCCATATAGTAATGGACTCTGAAGATATCCTAGAGCCACTTTTTAAATTGGACCAAACACAACCAATGCATCACCGTAATCACCATTTACAGGTTAGTAACCACAGAACAGTTTTTTAGGTATAAGTGTTTACCCATTTAATATGTTTTCATTTTAGCACAGTTATTAAGTTAAGGACACTCCCAAATAGTGCTACTGCCATTTTAGTTTGTGTGAGTATTTTTGAAAAAGTGAACTGCTGCATACCGCCTTCCTACCCCCTTTCTTGCACCTTTTCTCAAGCAGTCCATAAAGCCTTTAAATGCAAAAGTTATGGGTTAGGAACAAAATCTATCTTCATTAATTTTTTTCTAATAAGAAATTGGTTTTTGTTTGGTATGTCATTTTTTTATGAACATATTACGAGTCCAAAATGGAGGGATAGCTGTACTCTCCCAGAAAATTGTTTATAATTGTAGTTAAATCACATTGTGCTTCTCAGCAATGATTCCCATTAGAATAGAGAATTGTACCTCTAGTGAACCTGAGCTGCTCTTAGTAAATATCCTTGCCTTTTGCTATGGACACCCTCACCATTTGCTGCTCCTTCCTACACTCACCACTTTTTTTTACAGCTTAAAATTGATTACTTTCTGTGGAATGCAAGCAAGGTAAAAAGGAGGTATGAATAAAAACTAGAAATATGTAGTTCATTTTAACCACTGGGCTTAGTTTAAAGTTGAGCTTTGCATTTACGACAATTAATCAACACATAGAACATGGAACATAGAACATTACAGCGCAGTACAGGCCCTTCGGCCCTCGATGTTGCGCCGACCTGTGAAACCAATCTGAAGCCCATCTAACCTACAATATTCCATTATCATCCATATGTTTATCCAATGACCATTTAAATGCCCTTAAAGTTGGCAAGTCTACTACTTTTGCAGGCAGAGCATTCCACACCCTTACTACTCTCTCAGTAAAGAACCTACCTCTGACATCTGTCCTATATCTATCACCCCTCAATTTAAAGCTATGTCCCCTCGTGCTAGCCATCACCATCCGAGGAAAAAGGCTCCCACTGTCCACCCTATCTAATCTAATTTAAAAGTTTCGAACCAATGTGTGACTTTTGCCAACATCTTCATTACTATGGAGAAACCAGAACTAGTAGTGCATTATACCAAGTATCTGCAAACGTTCTGAATGGAATCCCAAAGTGTTACTTGACTAATTTAAAAGCATTGATTCTGCCCTGTTAGAAGCAGGAGTTCATGAAATGTTCATCAATTCCACTTATTCTTTGCACTTCTCGAAGTTGGCTTGCCTTTACACACCTTCCTTAATCAGACTCCTCTGAGATGTCTGCCTTTAGTAATCTCTAATCATTCAATATGTATGTGAAAACAACTTCCAGTTAGTGTTCCTCCACTTCTTATGAAAATGTTTTGCCTTTGCTGAGCATCAATGCTGACAATAGAAATCATAATCTCACCTTTTTAGGAAGCTGTTGACAGAAACATTTCAGCCTCTGTGCACTGATGGACTGGCTTTCATCGATCCAAACGTGCATAACTCAGGGAATTTATCCTTATTTTGGCTTTGATCACCTTCATACTTTTAATGTAGTCACTTTAAAAAAAAGTATAATGCCTGGAAGTGAACAGTTGCTAAGTTCAGATAGTTAATTTAAAAATTACCATAAAGGTGTGTGACATGAATTGAAAAATTGCAGCATTTGTAACGCAATTGTAATTCACAGTTCGTTAACTTGAGGTTTTGTTGTTTACATATTATGTATCTGAACATTATGGATTTTAATTTTCTGAAGGGAGGCAAAGGGGAGGCAATGGTGTAGTGGTATTATCGCTGGACTGTTAATCAAGAGTCCCAGGCAATGTTTTGGGGATCCAGGTTCAGCAGGTGGTGGAATTTGAATTCAATAAATATCCGGCATTAAGAGTCTAATGATGACTATAAATTAATTGTCAACTGTCAAGAAAAACCCATCTGGTTCACTGATGTCCTTTAGGGAACGAAACTGCCATGCTTACCTAGTCTGGCCTACATATGACTCCAGACCCACAGCAATATGGTTGACTCTTAACTGACCCTGGGTAATTAGGAATGGACAATAAATGCTGACCTAGCCAGTGATATCGCATCCTGTGAATGAAAAGAAGAAAACAACTACAAGAGAAAAGTTTGTCATTTTATGTCAGGAAATGTCAAAAAATCTTTCTGTGCAGTAAAACTAGATTTTGATAAATTGTGATGCATATATTTAAAAGGCATCTGGATGGGTATTTGAATAGGAAGGGTTTCGAGGGATATGGGCCAAATGCTGGCAAATGGGACCAGTTCAGATTGGGATGTTTGATCCATGTGGATGAGTTGCATTAAAGGGTCTGTTTCTGGGCTCTATTGCTCTCAAAGCTATGTAATTTGCTTGATGGACATTTCTTATTTTTTTTTTGAGGAAGGTTACATTGTTATAAATATTGTAATGCAGTGGCTAACATTGCATATTTTCAGCAATGGTATTTTAGATCAGACAGTAATTAATGTTTAAAATTACTGTTGGATGCAGTAGTCATTTTCTAACTTTTTTGTTTCCCTATAATAGACTTTACCACTTAGTTACTCTGGGAATCAGCTTGAACTCGAAGAATGCAAGATTCGAGTAGTCCAAAGTACACAAATGCAAAGTAAGCCGGTTTCCTTGTGGACACAGGACGAAGTGTGTGAGTGGCTAAGAAGCCAATATCCAAGACAAAGCTCTATTTTTATAGAAGCTATGTCTGAGCATGCAATCTCAGGTAAGACTTCAGAGTAAGCTAATGTACCTCTCCTAGTACAATCAGAAGTGATTTTTGTTTCTTTTTGCATAGACATGTTTCAGTAACAGCAAAAATTTCATTTTTATTTAAGATTTTCCCTATTTCATCCCTGCCACCCCTTAGGTTTCTAGGCAACATACTGTGAAGGGAGTTGTAGAAATTTGTAAATGTGTTATATTTTAAAGCTTGCCTTGAATGTTTTATCATATAGAAATGCTTCATATGTTTCATATAGTGCAATCAAGTTCATGCATTATAATCTGTGTAATTTATGATGCATTATTAAACAAAATAATGAAAATGGTGTATTTCTATACATCGTTTAGCTGTTCTCCCATGACACACACAGTATCTTCACCTTCATATTGCTTTTGAGCTTGGCCAAGTCTTTTTCTTGGAGTTTCCTGACGATAGGGATGACTACCCTCATCTCCATTTTTTATTCTGTTAATATTGTGTTATTCACAGACAAAAGGTAACTAGAAACTTCCCAACCTAGGTCCAAAGTTTACTTAATTGGCATAATGAGTTCATCATTTACAGGCCATTTAGGAAACTTGTTAATATTTTAACTACCTATTACTTCAGTGCCTTTATTTAATGTTTATGTTTTATTGACTTTGCAAACAAGATATTTGGAAGTGGTTCTTGTTGGATGTGGGCAATGCTGGCTGGGCCAGCATTTATTGCCTGTCCCTAATTGCGCCTTGAGAAGGTGATGGTGAGCTGCCTTCTTGAGCCGCTGCAGTCCATGTGCTGCAGGTAGACTTACAATGCCTTTAGAGAGGGAATTCCAGGATTTTGACCCAGTGACAGTGAAGCAGTGGTGATATATTTCCATGTCAGGATGGTGAGTGGCTTGGTTGGGAACTCACATGTTCCCATGTATCTGCTACCCTTAATAAAAACCAAAAGAACTGCAGATGCTGTAAATCAGGAAAACAAAACAAGTTGCTGGAAAAGCTCAGCAGGTCTGGCAGCATATGTGAAGAAAAAAATCAAAAGGGTCACCAGACCTGAAACATTAACTCTGATTTTTTCTTCACAGATGCTGTCAGACGTGCTGAGCTTTTCCAGCAACTTCTGCTTTCGTATCTGCTACCCTTGTCTTTTTAGATGGTAATGTCTCAGGATCTTTGAATTTCTGCATTGCACCTTGTAGACAGTATATAGTATTGCTATTGAACTTTGGCATTGACCCTCCTCCACCTCCAATGAAGTGGCTGCTTTGTCCTGGATGGTGTCAAGCTTTTTAAATGTTGCTGGAGCTGCATCCATCAAGGGATATGTAATCTGGTGCCTATTGTATTGACAATTATTTTCTATTAATTTTGTGCAGTTTTCATTCAATCCAAACAAGAAATTAATACCAAATTAACTAATTTCCAGTATTAACAAAAACCCACATGGGATGAAGGACGGTAAGAATGGCAATTGTTGGTTATAGGGTGAAGAAGGAAAGGAGGGTCATTGCTTCATTTATACTCCAAATAAAAAATGGGATTGTTATTTTATGGGGAGGGAGATTGGCAGGTTCTTGCACCTGGACGGATCAGACCTAAGGTGATGGCATTGAAAATAGCAGCAATGTAAATATAATTTTCTTCAGCAAATGTAGAGTTGTCAATTTGAAGTGCTTGTAATACATGCTGGAGGTACCAGCAGGGAGTAGATTAACTTCATCATCATTGTAATCTATGAGAGGGAAACATTATTTTGGGTATGATTCTTAAGTTCTTTTATGGTGAGAAGCATCTCTTTCCACAATTAGCTTGTTGCTGGAACACATGTAAGTATGCTAATAAGAACAAATAACATTTGGCCTCCAACTGAAACTGCCTGTTGCTGTGGTTTGTTCTCCTCTCCAAGCAAACTGCACACGTTACAGCAACCCACTGAATTGCCATGAAGGTCAAACATGGTTAAAATGCATGTATTGATTTATTGCTTGCAGTATCGTGATGCAATCAAAATGTACAGGGTAGAGAATCTTTGGAATTTTCTATCTCTGACTGTGGAAACTCAGTTATCAAGCAGGTTTGAGACAGAGATCAAAACGTAATGGGATACAAAATGAAGCAGCAAGATAGTGGACGAAAACACATCCCTCCCTCGTGCTGAATGCTTTCTATGCTCGGTTCGAGCAGAAGGCCAGCGGTGTAACATTACCTGCTTCAACAGCCGAGGATGCACTTGTTTCATCTGTCACTGCTGCAGGTGTCAGGTCGGTCTTCCTGAGAGTGAACGCAAGGAAGGTAATGGGCCCGGGCAGACTCTGCGGCCGTGCATTTAGATCCTGTGCGGACCGGCTGGCAGAGGTATTCACTGACATCTTCAGTTTCTCCCTCCTATATGCTGATGTTATGATCTGCTTCAAGAAGACCACCATCAATGTTGGTACATGCAATATGCCTTAATGACTACCATCCAGTGGCTCTAACTGCCGTAATCATGAAGTGCTTCGAGATGTGGTCCCTGACCAGCCTCAACCTGAGCCTCCCAGCCTGCTTCCATCCCCTGCAATTTGCCTACCGACATAACAGATCCACATCTGGACAACAAGGACACCCATGTCAGACTCTTACTCATTAACTCCAGCTCCACCTTCAACACCATAATCCATTCCAGACTCCTCTGCAACTGATCCTCAGCTTCCTCACCCATCGACTGCAATCAGTGAAGATAGACAACTGCGCCTCCTCCACAATAAGCCTCAACACTGGAGCCACCCAAGGATGTTTTCTCAGCCCCCGACTGTGCTCCTCGTACACCCAGAACTGTGTTGCCAAATTCTGAACAAATGCCATCTACAATTTTGCTGACAACAGGAGCGTGATAGGATGCATATCAAACAACGATGAATCGGAATACCAAAATGAGATAGAGGGCTTGGTGTCATGGTGCAATGATAACAATCTCTCTCTCAATGTCAGCAAAACAAAAGGACTGATCATTCCTTTCAGGAAGAAAGGAGGAGGACACGCCCCCATCTACATCAACAGAGTGGGGATTGAGAGCGTCAAGTTTCTAGGAGTGATGATAACTGATAACCTGTCCTGGGCTTCCCACTTAGATGCGATGGTCAAGAAGACAGGACAACACCACCTCTTCCTCAGGAGGTTTAGAAATTCAGCATGTCCATAAGGTCCCTCATCAACTTCTACAGATGCTCCATAGAAAGCATACTGTCCAGGTGCATAACGTCCTGATACGACAACTGCTCTACCCAAGACTGTAAGAAACTACAGAAGGTTGTGTGGACAGCCCAGACCACGATGGGAGCCAACCTGCCATCTGTGGACTCCGTTTACACATCTTGTTGCAGAAAGGCTGCCAACATCACCAAAGACTCCTCCCAACCCGTTAATGCTGTCTAACAACCTTTTCAGTCAGGCAGAAGATATAGAAGCTTGCACACATGCACCAACAGGTTCAAGAATCACTTCTTCCCTGCTGTTATTAGACTGAATGGACTGTCTAACTTCAAGTAATGATCTTGTTTCTGTTCTTGCTTTGCGCACTTCCTGTGCAGTGTAACCTGTATGCCTCACTCAATCTAAGCACCTTAAGTTGTGTACATCCTTGCTTACTATGATCTGCCTGTGAAACAAAGCTTTTCACTGTACTTGGGTCCATGTGACCACAATAAATCAAATCAAATCAACAAATTTGAAATTAGTTTTATTGTCTGACCACAGCCTTAAATTACCTTCACTGAGTACAGAAGGGTAAAATATCATTAAGACTTGCATAATAGACTTTGTTAGCTGCTTGACCATATCGGGATTACTTTTTTACTCTTTGGCCGGTGGGGTCCGGAGCGGAGGCGACTGCTAGTTGGGAACCGGTCAAGCCCAATAAGATCACATAGACATTACGGCCTTTCTATAAGGGCTTCTATCATTTTTATTTTTATTTCTTATTTTCCTAGCTTATACAGACAGTTCTGCTATAATGTGATAGCTGCATTTCTGTGCAACATTGCGTTATAGAAAATCGTATTATAGAAATGTTGGGGCCAATGGAAAAAGCAGGGTTGGGGCAGACCACCAAAAAAAAAATCACTCAGAAACCTAACAAAAGGATAGCACAGTTTGAATAAATGTTTAAGTCCTATCTAATAATGAAATAAAAGTAGATTTAACACCTTACTTTGAAAAAAATGTCAAGATGACTTGATGGGGGAGGAGGTTTTGAGGTTACTGTGTTGTTAATGCAGGGGCTGAGGGTCGTCGTCGTCATCATCATCATCACCATCACCACCTTCAGGTGCAGTTGTGGTTGCAGGGTTAGGGTGAAAATTAGTTAGTCTAGAAGTGGGTGGCTGTGCTCCATTGTCTTCTGATTGTTTCTTGAGGGTCGGTTTAAAAAAAATACAGTTTTTGCTGCTTTGCCCTTCTTTCATGAAGAAGCTGTTCATAGGGTGCCAAATGAGATCTTATTCCAATAACTGCTACTCTGCTGCGTTCTGCATTGTAATCATTGTCCTCTAAGAGCTGCTGCAACTGCTTCTCCGTTTTGCTCAGGATAGAAGACAAAACAGAAGTGGAAAGCTCTCATGGTGCTGTATCCTGGATGACTTCTTCATTTCCAGCTTCCATGTCCCCCTCAGCGACAAGTTTTTGTAGATCAGCTGTAGAGAGGTCATCACACTGGGACTCAAGCAACTCTTCAACAACATCACTACACTTCTTCAAATGCAACTTGCTTTGCAAGATCAGCATAATGTTCTTTGATTCTTGGGAGCTCCTCTGATGGATCAAAGCCTTTAAAATCTTTCAAAGAAAATCTGGGAGAAGCTTCTGCCAAACTGCATGCAAGCAATCCTTACTGACATCACCCTAGGCCTCCACGATAATGTCAATTGCATTCTTGATGTTAAAGCTCTTCCAAAATTGAAGAACACTGTCCTTGCTGCCCAAAACTATCGTATGATGCTGACGCAGAGACTCTTTTGGTGCTAACTTTGCGGATGCTCA